TCTAAGAACCTGAAAATGAAAGTATACAAAACAATAATTTTGCCTGTTAAGCCATCTGGTTGGTTGGGTCCACTATTTGGGAAGCCTGAGGGGAAGAGACCGCTGGGGAGACCTAGACGTAGATGGGAGGATAATCTCAGGCGGGATCTATGGGAGATAGGAGTTGAAGGAGACTGGATTTTGTTGGCCCAGGACAGGGTCCGGTTGAGGGCTTTGGTTAATTCGGTGATGAACCTTAGGGTTCTGTAAGCCATCTAGTTAGTTAATTAGTTCACTTATCTTTACGTTAGTTCATGTCTTTGCCAATAGAGGACGTAGCAGGTCACCTAGCTTTGAGTTTTCGATGTTTCTACCCAAGGAGGTAAACGGGTCAGAAAATGTTCGCGGGCTCATTAGTTTATATTCCGCCAACAGATGGCGCGGCAATTCACTTATCTTTACATTAGTTCATGCCCTCGCTAATATATGGCGCGGCAGTTCACTTATCAGTTCATGTCTTTGCCAATAGAGGGAGTAGCAGGTCACCTAGCTTTGAATTTTCGATGTTCCTATCCGGGTTGAAGGATACCCAAGGAGGTAAACAGGTCAAAAAAATATTCGCGGGCTCATTAGTTTATATTCCTCCAACAGATGGCGCGGCAATTCACTTATCTTTACATTAGTTCATTCCCTCGCCAATATGTGGCGAGGCAGTTCACATATCTGCATTAGTTCATGCCCTCACTAATATATGGCGCGGCAGTTCACTTATCTCTACATTAGTTCATGTCCTCGCCACTGTATGTCACTATGGATACTACAGAAGAAAGCAAAATAGACGATGGTTTGATGAAGAATGTTCAAAATTATTAGATCGAAGAAAGCAAACAAAATTTTAAATGCTTCAGAACCCAAACGAACAAATACGTATAATCTATGTAACGTGAGACGTGAAGCTGGTAGAAGAGTTGTAATTACCGAGGAATTTCTCCGCTACGAACCTCGTACAAAATTCTATCAAACATTCTTTTGGTAAGATTAACTCCATATGCGAATGGAATTATTGGGGATCATCAGTATGGGTTGAGACGAAACAGATCAACGATTGATCAAATCCTTTTCATTCGTCAGATACTAGAGAATAAATGGGAGTTCAGTGGGACCGTATATCAATTATTTATAGATTTCAAAAAAGCCGATGACTCTGTGAAGAGAGAAGTGCTGAACCTATAGAGAAATTGTGTAGTATATTTATTGCACCAGGAGTTCCCAAATAAGAACATTAGAAAACTGTTTTTATATTGCATGAAAAATGTTAAAACTTCAGAAAGATTTTTATATTTTTACAAAACTTGGATAAAAAGTACTCATAACAATTTGCAAGTCATGGCGTCACAACACAGAAGACCACAATCAACATTTTTACTGCTGTGAGGGTATCCGTCCTGTGGGGCGGGGGGGGGGGGGGGCGCCAGCACATTGTTCGACAACTAGTTTTATTTCAACACTGAAGATGGATGCGATATGAACATTTCCGAAAATTTGGTATACACCTTCAGGACAACACAGCTTCACAAACCGGATGACCGCAATCGACATGATCTTATATAGTTTCTGTTTCGTCAGTGTTCGGATGATAAACTGTTACATCACACACACAACCAGCTACACCTAGTTCTTCTAGGTGAATATATTAGCCATTTTAAACTGGGTCTAGGCTGGATGACCAGAGTATAGTTGATCTGTAACTAACGGGACTTCGTGCCTATGAAAATGTTAACTATTCTGACTCCCAGTTTGATGATTAGACCAAGCGAATACGTACTCTTACAACATAAGTTTAATAAATATATTTGCTAGGGGAAGCATGATATCCCCACAATACATGAGTTTCTTGTTAAGAAATTTGTCTTCAGACTCAAAGTGAGGACCAAAATAAAAGACAAATTTTCACAAGAAGAGAACAACACTGTAACAAGTATATTTCTCACACACTGTTTTTAGACTAGTCACTTGGTTACAACTGGTAAGTTAAACTTTATAGTACTGTTGACACGCCCATATAGCACAACTCGCAAAACTACATTTTTGTATATTTTAATCTTTGTATTTTATATGAAACGGGAGGACGAAAGATTTTGGGCTGAATAACAGAAAGCATTCCCTGAATTTAATCTTACCTGTTGTGTCGTCTCCAAATACTTGAATTTTGTCACATTTTCGAACGATCAATTATCTCATATACTTATATTCTGGTCCTGTCCCGAATTCTGATACCGAGACTTCATCATATACTTTGTCTTTTCTACATTTATTTCTAGACTCAACATCCCTACTAGCCCTTAAGAGTGTTTGTGTGTTCACTTTTATAGTATTTATATTATCGCTTAATAAATCTATATCATCAGAATAGACCAACGGCTGATGTGTCCCATTCAATTCCAAACCGCTCTGATTTAAAAGCAGCAGCGATAAAGCATCTCCCTGTTTCAGGTCATTCTGAATAGGAAATGTATCGCACAAACGTTTACCTACACAAATTTTGCTATAGGTTTTACTTAAACACATTTTAATTAACCTGACTAGCTTCTTAGGTACACCAGATTCAAGCAAAGAACGGCACTTGGCGAATAAATTGTTGTCCACAACAGCGTTCTTGACAACGTGCAGATTACAGAAAAGAAAACGTGTTTACTTGATTCACAATGATTTGCCAATACGTGCCGCTAAGACCTGTTTAATTAACTGCGTGGAAGCAATTGTGAGCCCGTTTGAACCGTGTCTTAAGTAGCTATTGGTTCAAGTTCACGATTCAGACATCATTCATTCGATTCAAGTTCAGGTTCGCAAATTATACGGTTCGGTTGGCTTCAAAACAGCAGCCTATCTAGTTTAATTGGTATTCAAAATTCAACGAGAATGCTGTACAGTACTTCCTCCCACCTAAATCATAAGATTTCGTGAAGTCTATAAATAGCTGATGTACAGTCACGCTGTTCTCTTATTTTTTTCCAGTTTTTGGTGAAACGAGAATATCTGATCGTTAGTTGATCGATTACTTCGCAATACATATTATCGATCGCAAACAATTTCGTCGATGTATGGAGTTAATCTTGACAGAAGAATGTTTGTTAACTTTTTGTGTGTAGTTGATGACAGTGATTTTCCTCGATTATTACTACAATCGGTTTTATCGCCCCTTTTTATGAATAGGTTCAACTGCTCTAGTAATTCCTCCTCTTTCAAAACAGAATTAATAATACATGCGTGGATCTCAGTATTACCTTCTGATTGATTCAATTATGCCGGAATTTGATCAATATATGGTGATTTATACCCTTTCAAATTGTCAATAACAATTTTAAGGTACTAATGGCTCAGTTGTAGTTATTTCAGCTTGTCTGACCTCATTAACTCCATGTACATTCAATAAATGGTAAAAGGCAGTATCAGTATATTTGAAGTTTATCAGCAAATAACGAAACGTTACAATTATGGATTTTGGTACATCATTTCTTAAATATTAAATAAGAAAGTTTCTAGGATGAAGTCATATGATACACCTGAGAACACAAAGAAGAGATTCAAAATTTCCTTAATATGCGAATTAAGTAAGGTCCATACGATATAAAAGGATATTAAATTCTCGATCCAAGTAAGCCTAATTTATCGCAATGGAAGCCCCACAAGAAAGTATGAGGAACATCTTTGAAGTATTGGCTGAGATAAAAGGTGACGCATTCAGTCTAACATTGTGAACAAATAACAGATGTGGGCACTGTTAAAGTAGTCTACTGGTTACTGTAGATTTCGATAACTCCTTGCTGAGATCAATAATTTCGATCAAAATTAAAGTAGAGCTGATTATGAATAACAGACTTCTTTAAGTGTTATAGAAAAGATTTTTAAATGTGAAATAGGGTTGTAATTAGTCATTAGTGTTGCCTTTCTTAAAGATTGGTACAACACTTACTTCCGTAAAAAGGGGTAAATCGTTTTTTATAACTGGGATTAAGTGTGTACTTTAAAAGAATAGCAAATGTCATAGAGCAGTGTTTGATAATATGAAAAATGTTTTAATTGGGTAAAACTCGAGTATGCCTCTGTTGCAAGGAATAATCGTCCAAATAATTTACTGTAATGGAACAGAAATAATACACAACGTGAACAGTTTAATGTTTGTAGTTTATTTTAGCATAGCTTTGTTTCACTTAATTGGTTTTTGTTGTTGTAACTGTTTCCTTTTTGTAATTGAATTATCTCTATGATTGGCTTTATTTGTTGTTGTCAAGCGCATTAAAAAATTAATTAAACGGAAATAATATCATCACCATTATCCTTCTTTGGAAAAGCCGGGGGCGGGGGCAAATCTTCACCTAGTCACAAAAAAGGAATCATTATATATAAGGCTGCTGTAGGACACGCCACCTGTCTTCATATTAATCTCCAGAGAAACATACTCTGTTGTAGGACCAAATAGCCCTTTGAAGGACGTAATTCATCTAAATGCTGTTATATTTAAAAGTAAATAACAAGAAAGGAATTAACGATGAGCAGCCAGCCTGTTTATTCTGAGAATCATACGAAAACTATAAATATACTTAATGGATAAAATGATGGTAGTACGTCTGTTACCACTGTGCTGTAGAGTTACATACATTCCTGCCGTGCTTAATAATTGCCTGTGGCTTCCATGTCACTGGTAAAGTTATGCCGTATAAACCAGTTCACTGATCTATCTTCTTTTTTTTTGAGGCGCTTTCCTTCAGCTGTGTTTATAGGCGCACAAGACCACGCCCACGCTCACCAGTCTGCAGTGGAGCTTCGTGACATTTTCCGCAATGTGCAGAAAATAGATCTTATTCTGAAAGCATACATGTATGAGGAAAGTATAAAAAGATAGAGTTCTGCCCTTCGCTCTGCTGGATTTATTCATTACTGAACATATGACAGTTACATGAACTTTGGACGTTTTCATATGAGATAGGATAG